GATGAGCGAATCATACAGCGATGGCGAATTGCTATGCTTGCCGTGTGTCAACAGTATTTAGATAATTCATGACAGGTGTGTTTGTGTTTGCTGGCTGAGAATTGGTGCTGCCGCACCCAGCAGGACACTGCCCATCTCGCATTAGTGACTTCGAGAAGGCTGTCAGGTGTTTTTATAGAAAAGCCAGCTGATAGTGTGACCGCTCCAGTTCTTGGCAGTACTTTCGACTCACTTGGCAAGGTGTATGATTTAGACATTTTGCTTTGTACAGTTGGCAATTACTCCGGTATATTTTAGCCGTGTCCTCAGTTCTTGTTATTTCCTGCATTCTCAAGAATTGAAAACATATTGTAGGGTAAAGCTGGTGTTCAGAGCAGAAGGTCTTGCCATTGCGAATGTCTGGCTCTGATAAAGACTTTTACAAGCAGAGGACAATGTTTGATACTCCTCTGTAAAGAAATATATTATTTCTTTACAAAGGGAGTACATTAAGCATAGAGAGAGTCATAATCATTCGCTTTCACTGAATTTGGCGAGATAATCCACAGTTAGAGAAGCAGGAGAGAGTTTGAGGCAAGTAACCCGTGGTAGTAATCATACTAGTGGAGGTATTGGCACTAATAATGTACCCAGGTCATTTCCATGTGTTGGAGGCCCGCTTACGTCTCTGGGATATTAAATATATTATGTGCAAATCAGGTGCTGATGCTGGCTCTGGGAGGGGTACGAGGGGGCAGAAAAAGAGTTGTTGTGTCAACAATGCAGTGACAGGTTGTGAGATCATTCAGATGGACTGACCGAGTGTTGTGAGATCATTGAAATTTTGCTGCAACATTTTGAATTTGCAGGGGATGGGACACCTTGCGATGTGCCTGAAGCCTTGATGCAATATGACCGCAATGATGTTGCTAGACAATCAGGTTATCATCTGTCATTTCGCTTTGTTCTAAAAATTGAGTTATCTTTGCATTCAGTTAACATAGTTCTTTGCCGACATCCATGAGCATGAGGATGAAGTGGGTAGGGGATTGTGCGTGGTGTCAGGCTGGATGAGGAGTAACCTAAGGTTGCAGATAGGCATGGTCAGGACATCGTGAAGGGTGAGATGGGTGATAAGTTCTGAGGAAAAGCTGGTTTGAAGGATGAAGAGCCAAACACAAGAGACATGCTACTTTCTATGACAGGATGTTGTCATACACTTCCAGAGAACTTAGCAAGTAAGTTAAGTTTGAGTGTTGTTAGTACAGCGTTTGCAATTGTTAACTTGTGTGTCTACCATCGACACGCGCAAGAAGTGGTTCGAGCATATAGGTCTATATCTTGTGGTCCTAGTGGCGCTCTGATCTAAAAAATAATAATCTTGTGGTCCTATCAGGAGAAGACTTCGTGAGGGAGTTCGGACCAAACGGGCTGTTGACAGTGGATTCGTGTGTCGCGGCTGATCATTACAAGGAAGGTCGGATGTTTGATAGTTGACAGATCAGGTGGCACCACGTCTTTGACTTGCGGTTTGTGGTGATTGACCAAGAAATGTCTTACTGTCTTTTGTACAAATCAAAGTTTACACTAGCGATCCGGGGTTTTACAACTGGCACTGATGTATAGCTCGTATAGCCTGGACTACGAACTTATGAATATGATTATGAGCTATGAAGTGCTCGGCTACAAGCTTCAGTAGACAAAATTATTTTATGCAAAGACAATTTGAAAAGACATGTCATTGTTCAACTGATAACCAAGTGAATGGTTGATACATTTTGTAGATGATGCTGCCGGTGCCAATGTACGAGGTCCATAGTGTATGAGGTGATTTTGATGAGGGGGACAGGGTTGAGCTGCCAGATTTCATGCTTGAAGTGCTCTTTCTGAGGTATGAGTTATACGGATGTAGTATTTTAGATCCGGTGTCTGCGAGATTGATTATGAAACACGTTGTGTACATTAGACATTGGAGGGGAATGTTAGCTACCATCTCATTTTGTGGTGTGGTAGTGATTCTAAGCCCAGTGTTTGCCACATTGAGCTTAACCTGTATTTTGAGCAAGACATGGCAAGCTAGATTACATCCTAGTCAGCTGGCGTGGAAGTGCTTGTGATCACTCTGTGCTTAGCTATACTATATTTGCATGTAAGGATTGATATGCCACATGTTGAAGGTGGTAACTGAACCAGCAGATGATGAATCGTTGGTTTTTAAGATTTGCGAGTGCTCTGTTAAGATTGTAGTGCAGAACTCTTTAAGGTGTTCATTTTGCAATTAATGTTGTTCAGAACCATTTGGAGTTACTCTCCAGCTAAGGATGGCTGTGGTTTTCAATTAGGAGACCTGGACGGTGACTTGGTATTTTGCCAGAATGGCTTCTGATGAGTTCATGTCGTGTTTTGCAAAAAGGGAAACTGGAAACTTTCAATACGTGGTGCGTTTTAAGTACTTATAAGGTTATGCTGATGATGCGCTCTGGGGTGTGTGGTTTTGCTGTGCATCATGAGATTTTTGAGTTTCGAACGATGTTCGGCCAAAATTAGCATGGTTGTGATTTTCAGTTGTGACTAGATGCTTGTGAAATTGCTACAGATGCTATTTGGAACAATTGGTATTTTGATGGAATAGCGACGGGAAAACTAAGGGCATGTTTTGCAAACACATGACACATCTAGACATTTGGAAAGGCATAGACAAACGAAAATTCATGGTCTTTTTTTTTACGGTACAGTGCTGACTAGTACTTAATTTTCAAGGCTGTGATTTAGCCCATGTAAAAGAAAAGTTTGTGATTTAGCAGGTGATGAAAGAGAAGAATCGTGTAGGGTAAGGCTGCTAGCTACCTGCAGCTATGGGCCGCAATAAATGGGATATAATTAAGGCCGTTAGTCCAGAATCTTGTGATGTCACGGCACAGATCGAGGAAGGACATCTGAGAGCAAATATAGTAGATCCTAGTCAGCCGGCTATAACATTCACCACGTCAACAAAATCCTACATGAGTGAGAAGGGAAGAGAGAGAGTACAGCCGGCTCTTCAGCTATCGCCGGGCTGCAGCACAGTGTACGAGAAAAAGGAGGCTGCATGCAGCTCCTTTTTTCCTCGCTGCCAATTACTGTTCGTTTCTCTTTCTTCCAACCTGCATGCATTGAATACTATAACCAGTCTAGTAGTCCACATATAGCCAGCTTATTATACAAGCGTACGTATGCAAAGACTTTATGCGACGTGGAACAGCTATATAGCCGGCAGCAGGCGTTTCTATTAGCCATGCTCTGATCCGGTAGAGGAGCAAGTAACGGCGTAGTAATTATAACCAATCAGATGCGGGCCACAGACCCTGAAAGAAAATAGGGATACTTAAAGAATACATGCGCCTATACACACTGAGGTGGGAATCTCATAGCTATTCGACGGAATAGATAACGAGCGTATCTGCGCTCGGGCTCAGAATAGGACATTCGAGCTGGATCCGGCTTGCCTGCTCCCTTCCCATGCTTCTATCCGTGCTCCCACTTCATCCTACGGCTGTTTTTTTTTTCTTTTTTCCTTTCTAATCTAATCATCTTTCCCCCTGATTTTAAGGGGGTGGGGCCGAGCTTTATTTTGTTCCAATCAAATTAAACCACGTATGCGGGAGTACGGATGGGCGCACGCGGAGGGAGCAGGCAAGTCTCGTCCTCTACGTAAGGGCATCCTCATCCGCACAACACCAAGGACCGGGCCATGGCTACACGGTGGACACCTACCTCACGTACGTCTCCATGTCGTGTTGGATGCTCCCAAACGCCAAACTGATGGATGTGTTGTTTGTAGAGTCAAATGGGTGCCTCCAGAAGAGGTTGTCTATTCTCTGATAAAAGTCTACCGCGACAGCCATTTTTTTCTGTGGCTAACCCAGGGCGACCCGGTTGCATGGCTGGAGTTTCGGGAAAAGCATGAGAGAAATGTGAAAGCGAAGGGAGGAGTCGGTCCACTGAGGAGACTGTAGCATTGGATGAGATCAACTTTGTAAGGATGTGTTTGGTTACAGGGAGATGCTAGGGTGGTCTCAACTCTCAAGATGCCATATCTGTGTGGTCAAGGTCCGTGGTTGGTTTTGTTGCGTGTTGATGCGTGAGCCATGCATTTTTCTTTTCAATTTTTTATTGATTTGGTTTTCTTCATTCCCAGTGTCTTGACTCTTGACTAGCTTTTCATATTGTTGGTGCAGCACTTGGATATAATTTGCATCTTCTTGCTATTAATATATCCACGTTATCGTAGAAATTATCTCCTCAATCTATAGAAAGCCAGTATTTGTTGCATCTTTCAACAGGGAAACTAAGCTAGTTATTTTGAATAAAATATGACCGAGTATTGAGTTTTTAGAATTAGTCACAAGGGCAGTAATTGTATGTGTTGTCCATATAATTCTGGCCAACGAATACGTGCATTTTGCCAACAAGTATACTCTATATATGCACATATTTTTCTTCATAGTATGTATGCACCAGTTATT